CGATCCGGGCGCTCCTGCCCGGCTCCTGAGCTCAGGCTGAGGCAGCTCCCAGCTGCCGCCGCCGGGAAGGAGCAGCTCGCCAAGGATGGCCGCGCTCCCGGGCCATGGCAGCTGCCCCGCCTCGCTCAGGGACAGCGGCAGCTTTGGCAGAGGAAGCGGAGCCCCAGCGGCCGGGGCTCGGCAGCAGCCGGCACCGAGCCCCTTGCACTGAGCGGGAGCAGAGGGACGGGCCCGAGCCCGGGACTCGCATCCCGCCCGGGGACTCGGGGACGCGGGCTCTGCTCGGGCTCCGCCAGGAGGAGGAGGCGCATGGCAGTGCCCGGGAGGAGCCGGCACTGCCGGCCGACAGGGCTGCTCCTGAGGGGAGAACTCGCTCTGTGCTCCTTGCGCGGGATCAAGGCATGGCCAGAAGCTTTCATATTCATTTGACAGACTCTCGCACACCGACCGCTACCAACGTGCACTGTGCAAAGCAGCCACCATGGCTGCAGGCTCCAAAACAAAGAGAAACAGCGCTGTTCTCCTTTCCTTCTTTACGCAATCACACCTAGCTAAGATTCATAACACCTGATGCCATTGTCTGTTTAAAACTCTGGCCAATACCATGCCACTGACTAGGTCTCAAAAGCGGAAAGCTGACAGCCATCAATTAAAGCTGATGCCAGATCTTTGCCTATTTAGCTTTCTGAGATGAAGGACTACATTTTGTTCATCACGAAAAAGAGACCAGTGTGTTACAAGAGTTGTCTGCTGACTATTTCTGTACTACTTCATGAGATATGAGCTACAAGGATACCAGGGAAGGGGTTGCAGGAGCCCACACATAGTCCCACCCAGCAAATGGTACAAACAGATAACTAACAGAAATAACGACCAGGGAAAGGCTGGGGAAAGGGCAGGGGCAGATAAACAGTCTGCAAGGCAGGATATTTGCTTGCTGAAACTTGATAGGGCACATATTGCGTTAATCATAAGATTTTGGTAATTTTCCACGGAGAAGTCACCAAATAAAGACATAGGGTGAAGAAGACGCAGCTGAGGAAGACTCCACAGCCTTTTATCACCGACCACCAGGAGACAGAAGGATGACCCTCTAGCAACAACCAGCGCAGGCGCAGAGAACTCCGAGATAACATGGACTCCTGAAGGATGGAGAGGATAAAAGGACTGAATCAGAAACTAGTTGGTGCGGCAGTAGGTGGAGCTGAGACTCCCCTGTCGCCCAGCGCTGAGCCTTTGCTTACGTAGTATAACTGCTTCAATAATTAATAAATTCTTTGATTGGAAATTGCTCGTTTTGAGTCAATTTTATAACACTTTCCATGACAGAAATCCCTGGATGGATCCACGTGCTCCTCTGCTCCTATCAGCTGAGCTTTTGTCTCACTCTAATCTCATTAGGATGCCCTAAATCCAACCTGTTCTGCTTCTCAGAGCAAAGCCTGCTGCCATCTCTGCTTGTGACCTTTGCATGGCACACATTGTTAGCACACTGCTAATGGCAAAACAAATTGCCTCTCCTTCTTTCTGCAGTGAACAGTTCAGCTTCTGGGGAGCTGCAGCTGTGACACTCATGAGCAGCTCTCAACATGATCTCAACGTGGAGCTGCTCTTTTCCAAGTCCGCCCCTGTAGAAAATCCACGTTGTTGGAAAATGTCACCAAAGCGAGAATTGCTGCTGAAGCTCTCTTAGCGCACAAGGGCAGAGCCATTCCTGGGGCTAAAAGTGCCTCATTCCCACTTTTCACTGCTCTTGGATCAACCTATGTGTTCATTTCCATCTTCCTGAGAAGCCTTGATCTTTTGTAGTGGAATCAAAGCAAAGCAGAGCTGAGCAAAACCCCACCTGTTGCTATGATCCTTCCCACTGCTTTTATTTCTGTTGTTCCAGCTGGATTTATTTCATTATGAAAAGGCAAATTCAAGAGTCTTTTTATCTCCACGGTTTACGTTGTCTTTTGCTGGCTTGGACTTTTGCTTTCTGCCCTTTGCCGGCCTGGGCACGTTCACCTTTCAGGATTCCCATCCTCTGCCCTGCCCGGGCTGCCTCTGGCTCAGCTCCCTTGGCAGCCGCTGCTTTCCCCGGAGCTCTCGGCCTTTAGCTCGCGTCCCTTTCCATGGGCCACGCCTCCCAGCTGCTCCAGCCCGGGCATTCCCGCCTGGGAACGAGCAGGGATTCCCTGCCCTGGCCCAGGGAAGCCTCCAGCCCTGCAGGCATTGCCGAGGCTCAGGGGCCGCTCCAAACCCTTGGTGTCCCAGAGCTCCCGGATCAGTGCCAGGGCAGAGCTGGGAGCCTGTCCTGAGGAGCGGGACTGACGCACGCGGTGCCTGCAAAGTCCCCCATGGATATTGGATCCAGCTGGCAGGAGCAGGTGCGGCCAAGGCAGCCCATTCCATTTCCTGCCCACCCAGAGATCTCCAACACTTCAGCCTGCTAAGGCTGGCACACAAATCCCTGCCCTGGGGCACGGCAGCGACTGCAGCGCACCCAGGAGAAGGCAAACGCAACGATCGGGGCTCAGTTCTGAGGCTGGGATCGAGATTCATTCTCAGCCATTTCAAACAAGGATTGCACCCCACTGCTCAGTTCTTTCTGCAGCTGGGACTCCAGGAAGAGGAGAAAGGAGGCACTTTACTGGAGCCCCTTTCCTGCCAACCACTGAGGGTCATTCAGGTGCTGAGAGAAAGCACAGCCAGGGAGAGCTGCCCCTGCTCTGCTGGGATTGCACCCTGCACTCACGAGGGACAGGTGGCTCTGTGAAATCGGTCTCAGCATTTTTGTGCCTCATAGCTCCCACTGAAATGATTTTGAGCAGAACTGAGGCTGCTGAGCGTCACTGAGCAGCACAGGAGACATTCAGCAATGGCCATGAGCTGGCAGAGATGATTGCTGGCGATGATGGCCTGAGCCCTGGGCTGAGAGTTCCAGTGGCAGCAGCAGTGACAGCCACCCCGGCATTGCCCAGAAACAGGAGAAACCGGCCCTGCCCTGTGTGGGGAGAATGTCTGCTGTGCATCTCCCAGTTACAGCCCCAGCGCTCCCTGGGCTCCTGCAGACATTAATTCCTTCTGCCTTCCTCACAAGGCATCTCCGCTCGTTCCATCGTCTGCCTGCTGGGCACTGCTCCCCTCCTTATTGCACAGGGGAGAGCGAGGAACTCTGCAATTGCCCCGCACTGAGCTCCTCTCACATCATCTCCCACTCCTTTCATGGCCTCACCAGCCAGGAGAAACATTCAAGGGGGAACAAAGTGTGCTGTGCTCTAGGCAAGGCCAGAAAGGGGCCTGAAGAGACAGATTTTGGATTAACTCTGGCTGGAGAAAACCAAAGGCAATCAGGATTGCCTCCAAAAGAAAACAAGAAAGGAAGGGATTATTAAAGCCATTTATAGAGTCACATTAAGGTCTGTTCCTCAAGGTTTTGGCTTTTGGCACTTCTGTAAGCAACATGACAGACTGTGGGCAACTGTGACAGACTGCACAGAGGAGGGCGTTTTTTATAAATAATATAACTAATATAAAAATAGATATATCATTTTTATATTGTATATTTCCTATATTTATTTATAATAAATATTTATAGATATTGGTGTATATATAATATATATTTTTATATTTGTATTTCTATTTTTATATTATTTATATTATTTATAAAAAACCCCAGCCTATAACCAAATAAAATAAAAAAATCCCCAATTTATTTTAACTATATTTAAATATTTTTAGATTTACAATCTATATTTATATGTCTTTGGATATATATATAAAATAGACTATCATTTATATATATTATGGTATGTTACAATAATATACTATATATTATAGTTTTATATATTTATCTATTTGTTTTCTATATTTATGTTTACCACTATCATTTTATATTTATTTTTAAATTTATATTTATTTCTACTTTAATCTATATATTAGACCGTATCAATTCATTAACCCAACACATCAGAACCACAAAAATCCTGCGCCTTCGTCAGCACCGGTACGCAGCCCACGCTCATCCATCGCAGCGTATCCAAACAAAACCTATTTCTAGGACTAACAGAACAAAGACCCCACAACATTTAACCCTAAGAAAAACTCAAATCAACCGAACTGTAAAGAAACTTTAAATCCCACTATAACTAGCCCAAAAGCTGCGTACATTCTCATCATAGACTTCCTCCTAAAGCAATGGCTCAAAACCCTAAAAACTCAGATACACATGGAAAATGACAGAACTGCTAGTAAAAACAAACACCCATGAAAAATTAAATCCAACCAACTCACTAAACTCAAAACTGTACAACTGACCCTAAACATTACTAAAAAAGCCCCCAAAGCTCTACCTTTATGCTAACTCACAAATAATAGCCAATCATCTATAAAAAATATTTTTAAAAATTAAAAAAATAAATAAAAGCATGAAAATAAAAACTCTAACCTATTAAAATACTAAAAAATATCACTACCCAAATTTAAAAGCATATTGCCTATAAAAACCCACCATATAAATGCCCCTGTCTCCAAAAATAAAACAAAAAAAAAAATCAAACCAGAAAGAAATCGGAACTTAGGAACACTAAAACCAGAACGTTCAAGAAGTTCCACCATATCCCTGATCATACACCAACTACAAACAACATGAAACAATACAAAAAATTCTTAAAATCCACCTTAAAACAACTACAATTAAAAACCCTTTCAAGAATTAAAAACTGCATTGAACAAAAGCCATCTAATAAATTAACACCCAAAACTCCAGCAGCCCAGCTGGCCCTACCAAATCTCTGTGTTTACACCTGCAGTAAACAAAACCAAAATCCCAGGAATACCTGTCAGAAGTCTAGGAAAGAAACCTCTTGAAATTAATCCTACCTCAAATACAAACCAACCCGTCCAGAAAGTGAGCTTCACTCAAAAAACTATTTACACAGAGTTAATAAGACCAAGAAATAAAACAACACACCATATACCACCAATGAATATCACAGTGAAGGAAAAAAAAACCCCACTTTTTTTTCTTTTTTATTTTTTAAACTCACTTCTTTTATTAGCCAGAACAAAAGATTTTGCCAGGACTGCAACAACTTCTCCTTCTTCTCCTTCTGAAATGTCCTCTCTCCTTCCCAAATTCCTTACAACTTCTGAGTTTAAATCCAAGCCAAAAGCAAAATTCGTGCACTTCTGAGTCCGGTGCTCCTGTCAGATTCTCTGTCTCACTCCACATCTTCTCACACTTTCAGTCTGAACGCTGTCCTGCCCTGATGAGTTTGACAGAAGCATTGGCACATGTTAAGAGAGCATTTCCCTCCCTCCCTCCCTCCCTCCCTCCCCAGAGCTGGTTTCCTTAGCGCATTTCAATCGATCCCAAGCCCGCAATGATGCGCGCTCACCTCAAGGCTCACAGCAAGCACGCAGCAGCTCAGGCTGCCTTGGCTCCAGGGCTCTGTGCTTGGACAGCTGAGAAAACTTCCGATGAGCCTCTGTTCCAAGACATTGGAATGCAATTTCCCTGTGCATTTGGTGGCAGCTTTGGGTCCCTCTGGGGGACGGCACCCAGCGTGACCCCCGCCCCTCGCCCGCCCCCCACCGGCTCCTGCACCGCCGTGGGGCTCCCTCTCCCGGGCACCTTGGGGTGCCCCCAACGGCATCAGAGTCCCGAGTCTGCACCCCCCCTATTCCTGACCCCCAAAGAAGGCTCAGAACGAGTCCGCCTGCCCTGGACAGCAGCGCAGCGCTTCCCCCAAGCCCTTCCCACACGTGCATGGCCCCAGCAAGGGATTCTGCTGCAACAAGAAAGGGGGGGCAGCCCCCAGAAGGCTTGAGGTTCCTGCCCAGCCTCGCTGTCCCGGGCCAGGGGCAGCGAGAGAGGGAGCGGCACAGACGGCGGGGACGGCCCGGCACGGAGCGGGGGCCGCTCTCAGCGCGATGCCGGCAAAGCCGCAGCTCCGGCGCTGTCGGCCGCGCTGCTTGAGCGGCACGGGGGGATCCGCCGAGAGCCTCCGGCCCCGCGCGGGGACTCCCGCAAGGGCCCAGGGGCGCCGGGCTCCGGCCCTCGGGGCTTTATTCTCCGGCAGCCCGAGCCCCGCGGCTGCGGGGCAAAGAAGGAAAGGGGGCACGGGAAGAGAGGAGCGAGAGCAGGGCATGACAAAGGGCGGCGAGGGAGCTCGGGCTGTGCAGGAAAGCGGGACGGGAAGGGAAAGCCCGGGACGAGGGTACAGGGAGGCTGGGCAGAGGAAGGAGAGAGGGGGAACAGAAGGGAGTAGCGGGGTAGGGACAGGACTGGAAGGAGCCGGGTTTGCGGGGGGAGAGGGAATGGGGGAAAGGGAGCGAGAGAAGGCGAATACGGGGAGAAGGAAGGAGGGCTAGAGAGAGGGACAGGCGGGGAAGCCTCCCAGAGCCCCGGCTGCACCCCGAGCCCGGCCCGGCGCCTCGCCCTGCCCGGGATGCTGCGGCGCTCGGCGGAGCTCGGCTCGCTCCGGAGACGCTCGGCTCGAGTCGGCTCTTCGGCTAAACTCGGCTACTGTCGCCTAAACTCGGCTCTTGTCGCCTGCATTCGCCTCTTCGGCCGAGCTCGCCTCGCTTCGGCCCAACTCCCAGCCGCTCTGTGCCTTCGGCGCGCCTCGGCTCCGCTCGCCTCGCCTCGGCTCCCTGAGGGCGGGCAAGCGCCGCCGCCTCCCGTTCAGCTCGCCCGGCTCGGGGCTCTCCCGCTGCCGCGTCCCGCGGGCGGCCCGGCCACGGCGCGGACACGACCGGGAGCGCGGGCTCGGGCAGGAGCTCATTAGGCTGGGAGCGCACTGGCGCTAAGCAGCGCGCACGAGAGCAGCAGGCTCGCTTCGCCTGAGCTCGGCTCGCTTCGCTTCAGGCAGCCTCGGAAGCCTCGCCTCGGTTCGCTCGAGGCCGTCAGGGTCGGCCGCTCTCGCCTTGCTTCGGCCGAGCTCGTGCGATTCCCCCGAAGGCGGCGGCGTTCGGTTGTGGTTTTAGAAGTATCTTTCTCTATCGATTGTATCCTTCTATAGTTAGATTTATATTTCTAGAATACTTCTGTTATTCCAAATATAAACCCCATCTCTAACCAAATAAATACAATAAAAGCCTTCTTTTTAAAGATATTGAAATATTTCTAAACGTTGTCTAATTATATTCACATTTTTATTTATAGTTTCTTTTGATGCAATCTATTAAGCATTATATATAATATCTATAATATTCTAGACATGAATTTAAATTATTATTTATATTATGTATTGTATCTACTGCTGCAACTGATATTTTCTTTTAATTTTAAACTTGATCTGTATTTATGATATATTTCTATACTTAGATTTCTACCTTCATATTGTTTCTATTCATAATTTTTATAATCAATACCCTGCCTATTGACAAGTAGCAAAGCCCGTTTTATTTAACGATTTTAAAAATATTTTTATATTTATAATTTTCATATTTCCATTTATAATTTGCTCTCTAGTACGTGATAACATACCTGCTCCTGCACCGCAGTGGATTTAACGATTTTAAAAATATTTTTATATTTATAATTTTCATATTTCCATTTATAATTTGCTCTCTAGTACGTGATAACATACCTGCTCCTGCACCGCAGTGGGGCTCCCTCTCCTGGGCACCTCGAGGTGCCCCCAACGGCATCAGAGCCCCGAGTCTGCAGCCCCCCTTTTCCTCTAGTTAGAAACTACACTGGAACTTTTTTCTGGAAACAAAGACATGACCTAAATCCTCTCCCCATGTCCCAGACAGAGAGATGTTCAGTTCTTAGTTGACTGGGCAGCAGTTTCTTCAATAGAATGATAAACAATATGGAAACGTTTTAGCTACAAGCAAATGGGCAAATCTGAACAAGGTCCTGGTGGCCAGCCACTGCAGTTCTTCTGAAGCAATTTTTTAAACAATCCAATACTGATACCACAAAAAATAAAACAAAAAGCTGACTACTGGCTAAGGAAGAAGGAAAACTTAACTTTTGACAACAACAACATTCCAAGGACACAGGCTTTTTCCCAATCTCATACCTTATTACTACCTCTCTTGGGAATTCTCATCGTGGCTCCCAAAAGGAATAAATCCCTCAGAGTGTCCTAAAGCACAAAGTAGCACGCTGGAGCTCCTCACACTCCCAGGAGGGCAGCACAGCGTGCACCGAGTCTGACACAAATTCTGCTCAGTGAGGGTCTGCAAACAAAGTTTCCAGTGATGAACTGAACTCATTTTCAAGGGACGCTTTCTAAGCACAGAAGCACAACAAAGAACAAGCAGAAACAATCCTTACAAACACCTGCGAGTTTTATTTAGCATGGATGCGACTGATTGCCACCCTATGGCTTCTCCCTTGGGTTTGTCTGTAGGTTCAGGAGGATGATGATGCACACTCTGCCTTCCCTGAACCCCCACAGCAGCCGAGCGCTGCCCAGCGCGTTCAGACCATCGGGAACTGGGTCACGCACACCCGGATGGGCCGGAGCTGCTCTGCTGGAGATTGGGGAGACGAGAGCAGAGAGGCGCTGGCCCAGGCGTCGTCCCAGTTCTGTTGCTGTGTGCCGAGAAGGAGTTTGCTCCCAACAGCTGCAGCCACCCTCAGCGCGCTCCCGTGGTGAGTATCAATGGCACACAGAGGCAGCCTGAGGAAATAATGGGCTGGGCTCTAAGGGCTGGGACAGGCTCTGATTTTTTGTTTTGTATTTGCACGATGATCGGCACAACAGGGCTCTGATGGATGACTCGGCAGCACGCAATTAAAAACTCCTCCGTAGGATTACATGGACTGGTAGGAAAAGACAAAAGCCCATCACCCTTCTGAAATCTCCTCTGAATCCCAAGCACGTGGATTGTCACTGTACTGCAGCTTCCAGGTTTTCAAAGCAGCTTACTTCTGAAGGCCAGGAAACATTTATTCCTACAGAAACAATGGGCAGCACCCAGGCTAATCTAAGCACTCCTGTTGGATAGGGGATCTGCCAGTGTGCCAGGCCAGCCTAAGGTGTGCTTTATTACAGTCTAACACCCCCACAAAATTCTACCCCTATCTCCCGACCCCAAAATCTTATTTTTCCCTAAAGCTTCTCATCATTGGCGATTTCCAAGTAACATGGTTTTTTTACAACATTCAAAAATGTCATGCTGGACTGAACTAGAGAGTAATTTTCAAATATAAGCTTAGCAAAGTCTGAATTGACTTGTCCAGAGAGAAAACCTACAAGTGAACACCTACACCTGCCTAAAGAGACCTAACGAGCCCCTGGCAGCCACCGGCATCAAAGCGCAGTGGATGTTTCTAATCCAGGGGAAGGAGAACAATATCACCTTTTGTTCTCTCCAGTTTGTTTCCTCTGCAGTCACATTTGCTCCTTATGATTTTTACAGTCTCTGTATCTTCTCGGGCAGCGCTGAGTCTGACGACCGGGATACGAGAGTCCTTCCCTGCCCTACGGAGAGAACCAGGAAAAAAAGTTCAAAAAAGAACAGGGCAGTTTGAAGTTAATACCTCCGACGAGAAGCAGCACCCGACAAACAGAGCAACGGTGAACAAAGCGTGACACCTCCCTGGGGACAGAAGACTTACAAACTCTCCGGGATTTACAATTCCAGTAACCAAGCCCTTCAGCACAGCAGCCAAGTGTCCCATTAGGTGGTGCTGCACCAAGGAATGATCCCAGAGGTTCCAAAGAGTGAAATGCACGTTATTGTCCAAAGACGTAAAATCTTGCAAAATACCAAAACTACAATAGATCTAAACTACAGGGCAAGAGTACAAGTGTTAGCTTGAGGAGCTGGAACCCTCCAGGTGAGCAACTGCTAACTGGATCCTCAACAGAGTTTGAGGAACCCTTCAGGATACAGAAGGGTTTTCCCCAGCAATGTCACAGGCCGAGTTTTGATAGAAGTGCACTTGCCAGATGCTCAGAAACGTCACCCACTCTCCAGATGATGCAACCAAACTGGGCAACTCCCAGTGGGACAGAAGGAACCCAAAGCTTGTTTTACCCAAAGCTTGGGTAAGCAGAGCTCCAGCAAATACGGAGGATACAGACATAACGGGGTAAAAAACAATAAACCTACTTTTTTTTTTTTAATCTTGCTTTTTTTTTTTTTTTTTATGTAGGTGAACAAAACAATTAAGGAGAAGGTGAAAAACTCACCATGACTGAACATTTCATCACCTGTAAGCTGACCATCCTTAGCACAGAGGACTCCAAATTTAAAATTCACCGATCCCCGGGACATAAAACCAACTATTATATGGTAAACAGTCAAACAGAAGATGTAAAAATTTGTTTCCTCTAAGGACTTGCAAGTGTGTGTGTATCTTTGTATACATGCTACGCATTAGAACATACATCTCATACCACCTCCTAATACATAATCATTTACCTTTACATTTTGATAGTATAGCATAAAATTATTTCCTTAAATGGGTGATCTATTATTATTAAGTTGGTGCTTTAAGCTATTTTTGCTGTCATGTTCAAAAAAACATTAATTCTTTTGACTGTAATGAGCAATTGATTTCCAAGTCATCAAAAGCCCATCAAAATACAAAGCTGTATTCACCGGACGGGTCTGTGAGCTAGAAGTAGTCAGGCTTGTACTCACCTCTTGCCCTTCAAGAACCAATAAATCCTGTCAACAAATACAGCATCTTTAGCCCCCTCCTATTAAAGATTCTACAAGGATGATGGTTTTATTTGTGTTTAGAAGTTTGGATTTGAAATGGCCAGTTCAATGGATAGAGAGACAGTTTAAGTAGTATTAGATTATTATTATTATTATTATTATTATTATCTGCTACTGGAAGAGACAAACCAGTAGTATCTATACTTAATTACTTCTATTTCCAGGAAATCATAAAGAAAAAGAACCAAACAAAGAAAAGTCACTTCCTACCTTTTGTATCTCAGGATGAAAAATGTCTCTTGGGCTCTTCTCCAGTTTCTCCAGGCTCCTGGCACTGAAATGCAAATGAACGAGTGCTTTATAGGAGGGCAAGTGCACATTCCAACCCCGAACCCCCAACCGATGGCAGTTACAGCGCTTACAAAATGAATCCTTCCCAGAGCCTCTGGGAAATGGAACGGTTTGTGCAACTGCCATTTCTTCCCCAAAATACTGACTCCCAACACTTCCTAAACTGAGTTTGCATTTTAAAAACAGAAATTAGGGAGACTCAGGGTGGAGATCAGGTTGAAATTGATTTCCTTCTAAAGCACAGGGCTCTGTTCCATCACCCTTCACTTGGGCTCCACACAGAATCACGGGGAGCATTTTAGGAGGGCTCAAGAACCAATTCTATTTCTCTCTTTTTCTAGTTCTCTCTCTTCCTAAACAATTCAAGGCAAGTCAAATGAAAAATGACAAGTTCAGCATCAAATCCACACTTTTTCCCTTTGACTGCTCAAGAACAGGCTTTAAAACCACTTCTTGCTGCCTTCAACGATTAAGACTTGCAAAACAGTTTTACAAGTTTGATAGGTTTATCATAAAAACCGCAGAACGCAAGCTCTGAATTACAGGAAAAGGTACACAGGCAAATATCTCAACTGATGGCGGCTTATTTGTCAATCCATACCTTAACGGAGATTGCACGGAGAATGTTTCAGTGGGACTCTAAGGGAGACAGATTTTCTGAGTACCCTGTAAACAAGAAAAGCTGGGATATATTACAGGACATTCCCACTCTTTCTGCATATTCAAATAGGATTATCAATAAAAACATTTCAGTTAAAAAAGAAGAAAGAAAACCAAGGTAATTTTACTCAGCTATATTTACTGCCGATTTAGAGAAAGAAAATAGTCATGGGTGCTGCAAAGAAAAAAAAAAGTGAAATATAAATGCCTACAGCAGAACTTTAAAACAATTGCTCGGATAAAAGCAGCTCATGGAACGTGAAGTAGAAAAAAAGTGAAACCAGTATCAGACCTGCCTGTTTTCTTACCATTGCACAAGAAAATCCGACAAGCGGTATAAAGTCACTGCCTAAAACCGATCCTAGGATGTAACCAAGAACGATTGAGGCATTTGCTAATCTAAACGGAAACCTTTTCCGGACCCTAGTGTCAAATCACACGTTTTGTCTCTCAGCAGCTCGAGGCTGGAGAGCATTTCCCCTGGGGGTCGGGAGGGCAGGGGCACAAGGGGCTGAGTTTGCCGATCGCACCTGTGCCATCAGAAGGATCCAGCCCGGCGCTCCTTGCGCTCGCCATTCTCCGGGCCATCGCTGTGTTTTACTGCTCAGCGATGCCGCTCCATCTGTTTGCGTGGAAGGAAGAGCCACGAGCACTGAGGCACTCAGCAGCCGTGTCATGCCAGCGATGTCGAGCGCTCTCTGCTCGCAAGGCTGAGCCCGCCGCGGAGCCGCCTCCGCAGCCGCTCGTCCGCCCCCGCCCGCAGCAGCGGCAGCGGCCCGAGGGAGACGCTGCAGCTCGGCGGCTCCCGCGCCTCCGCCAGCCCGAGGGCAGCCGCCGCACAGTGACCGCGGCAGCGCCCGGCGCCGCTCGCCCGGGGCGGCTCCTGCAGCTCCCGGCCCGCGGCAGCAAAGCACCGCCTGGCGCTCCGCCATCGGCGGGCGGCAGCGCGCCCCGCCCGAGCCGAGCCCCCGCCACCGGGACCGCTGAGCGAGGCCGAGGCACCGGGCGGACGCCCCTTCCGCGCCGCTCGGCTCCGTGCGGGCGGCCGGACGGAGGCTTCGCCCCTCCAGCGTCGCTGCCGCGGCTCCGTCCCGCGCGGCACAGGCGCCGGGAGCTCCCCGCGCCCAGCCCGCTCCCCCGGCGCGCGGCCGCCTCGGGCCGCCAGCCACTCCTACGGCGCGTCGGCCGTTGCGTCAGACGCCGCGCTTTACGGCCGCAGGGCCTGCCGGGAGTTGTAGTCTCGGACTGACAGCCACCGCTCCGGTTTCCGCCACCGGGAGCTGCGGTCCCGCCAGGGCATCAAGCGGCTCCTTCGCTCCCGGGCGCGGAAGCACCTTAGGCAGCACCGCCCCTCCCGAATGTCCTTTCTTTTCCACTCCAACTCTTTTTTCTTTTTTTCACTCTGTTTTTCACCCCCTTTTACACTCTCACTCCTCCTTTTTCACCCTCATCCTTTTCCTTTTTCACTTTTCTTTCTTCCTTTCTCTTCTTTCTTTTTATTTCTTCCTTTCCTTTCCTTTCCTTTCCTTTCCTTTCCTTTCCTTTCCTTTCCTTTCCTTTCCTTTCCTTTCCTTTCCTTTCCTCTTTCCTTTTTCCTTTCCTTTTTCCTTTTCTCTTTCTTTCTTTCTTTCTTTCTTTCTTTCTTTCTTTCTTTCTTTCTTTCTTTCTTTCTTTCTTTCTTTCTTTCTTTCTTTCTTTCTTTCTTTCTTTCTTTCTTTCTTTCTTTCTTTCTTTCTTTCTTTCTTTCTTTCTTTCTTTCTTTCTTTTTCTTTCTTTTCTTTCTTTCTTTTCTTTCTTTCTTTTCTTTCTTTTCTTTCTTTCTCTTTCCTTCTTTCCCTATATTTTTAATCTTGGCTTTCCATTCTAGCTTTAGAATAAAAAAGCAGCAGTAGAAACGTTAAGGCTACCTGGGAGTGCAAAAAACCCCAAAACGGTAATGATTTTAGGAAAACTATTTCGTCCATGGGAGCCTGAAATTTTCTACAGCTGCAGGTGACGTAGAGCTTTTATTTCTTCTTCTGTATAGTTCATACTTTACGCTCTATTTATACCGCGCCCCCTGCCGTCTGCATGGGCGCACTGCAGGCACAGCGCCCCCTGCCGTCTGCACCGGTGAACTGCAGGCACAGCGCCCCCTGCCGTCTGCACCAGCGAACTGCAGGCACAGCGCCCCCTGCCGTCTGCATCGGCGCACTGCAGGCAGAGTGCCGCCTAATGACGTCAGCCCGTCGACACGGCGCCGCGCCCCGGCCACGCCCACTCGGGCGGCCGTCGCCATCTTGTACGGGATTCCGCGACGGCCACGGCGCTGCCATGTTGTACGGCACCCCGTGACAGCCAGGGCTCTGCCAGCCTGTATGGCACAATTTTACGGCAGTGGCGCTTTACGGCAGTTTTACGGCATTTGAGCTTTACGATACCTTTTGCGACAGTCGCGCTTTACGGCCCCTTTTGCGACAGTCGCGCTTTACGGCCCCTTTTACGACAGTCGCGCTTTACGACGCCTTTTGCGACAGTCGCGCTTTACGTCACCTTTTGCGTCAGTCGCGCTTTGCGGCCCCTTTACGACAGTCGTGCTTTACGACACCTTTTGCGACAGTCGCGCTTTACGGCGCCTTTTACGACAGTCACGCTTTACGGGGCCTTTTGCGACAGTCGCGCTTTACGGCGCCTTTTACAACAGTCGCGCTTTACGGCGCCTTTTGCGACAGTCGTGCTTTACGACACCTTTTACGACAGTCGCGCTTTACGACTCCCTTTGCGACAGTCGTGCTTTACGTCACCTTTTACGACAGTCGCGCTTTACGGCACCTTTTACGACAGTCACGCTTTACGGCCCGTTTTGCGACAGTCGCGCTTTACGGCACCTTTTGCGACAGTCGTGCATTACTGCACTACCCTTTATGGAACTTTTATGATACTTTAGAGAACTTTACGGTTTTTATTTTATTTTTCATTTATTTTTAATTAATTTTATTTTTAAAATTTTATTTTATACTTAATGTTTATTTTTAATTTTTCTATTTTTAAAACTTCTATTTTATTTTTTTATTTTTTATTTAATTTTTATTTCTAATTTTTCCATTTTTAAAGCTTTTAAATTTATTTTTCTAATTTTATTTTTTATTTACTTATTATTTTTAATTTTTCTCTTTTTAAAGCTTTTTATTTTATTTTTTATTTATTTTTATTTAATTTTTATTTCTAATTTTTCCATTTTTAAAGCTTTTAAATTTATTTTTAAATTATTTACTTATTATTTTTCTTTTTTAAAGCATTTTTTTCAATTTTATTTTTTATTTACTTATTATTTTTAATTTTTCTATTTTTGAAGCTTTTTATTTTATTTTTCTAATTTTATTTTTTACTTAATTTTTAACTTTTCTATTTTTAAAGCATTTATTTTTTTATTTTATTTTTTATTAAATTTTTATTTTTAATTTTTTTAATTTTTAAAGTTTTTTTTTTATTTTTTTAATTTTATTTTTTATTTTTAATTTTTCTATTTTTAAAGCTTTTTAGTTTTTTTTTATTTGCTGCTGCCCAGACCAACTGAAGCTGGTGATTGTGGTGGTGTTTGAGGGTCTTGCATTATGGCACTACCTTTTATGGAATTCTTACAGCACTTTACAGCACTTTACAGTTTTTATTCTGTTTTTCATTTATTTTGGATTAATTTTGGTTTTTTAATTTAATTTAATTTTTATTTTTAATTTTTCTATTTTTAAAGCATTTTATTACATTTTATTTGGTGCTGCCCAAAGCTGCTGTAGTGCATTTTTATACTTTGTAATACTTTGAAGTCATTTTGTTTTGAATCCCCATATTTTTCCCAAATGGTTTATCCCAAACTGCACCCCCCTCCTTCTCCCTGTGTTATCCCTCTCCCGGGATGAGATCATCCCCACACCCCCACCCTGGCTCTCTGTCAATCACTCAGCCTCCCATCCCCTCCATGCAGAAGTTTCGGTCCAAGTCGTCCAGTGATCAGCCAGAGGCTGGGAGTCAGCCGCCCAAGCCTTGCCCCATACGCTGTCCTGTATGTCTGTCCCCCAGCATCCATCCCTTAGGGTCACTTAATGGTTGGTAAGATGTTATCTACTTTGGGTTTCCACCTCCCTTTAAATGTAACCTTGGCACATCTCCCTGGGGCTCTTGGCAGGAGGCCCCTGAGGTGCAGGAGCTCCTTTGGGATCCTAATAAAACCTTGGATTAACCCCTGCTAAGAGTCGGCCCTTTATCTTCTACCGCTGTCTCTGGTGTCTCTTGTGCTGCAAAGGCAACCAGCCCAGGTGCCCTCAGCACCCTCGGGGCACAGACAGTGTCTCCCCCCAGCCCAGGTGCCCTCAGCACCCTCGGGGCACAGACAGTGTCTCCCCCCAGCCCAGGTGCCCTCAGCACCCTCGGGGCACAGAGAGTGTCTCCCCCCAGCCCAGGTGCCCTCAGCACCCTCGGGGCACAGAGAGTGTCTCCCCCCCAGCCCAGGTGCCCTCAGTACCCTCGGGGCACAGAGAGTGTCTCCCCCCCAGCCCAGGTGCCCTCAGTACCCTCGGGGCACAGAGAGTGTCTCCCCCCCAGCCCAGGTGCCCTCAGTACCCTCGGGGCACAGACAGTGTCTCCCCCCAGCCCAGGTGCCCTCAGCACCCTCGGGGCACAGAGAGTGTCTCCCCCCCAGCCCAGGTGCCCTCAGCACCCTCGGGGTACAGAGTGTCTCCCCCCAGCCCAGGTGCCCTCAGCACCCTCGGGGCACAGACAGTGTCTCCCCCCAGCCCAGGTGCCCTCAGTACCCTCGGGGCACAGACAGTGTCTCCCAGCTCTCGGCCGTGTCGGGGCTGCCCCCCCGGTTTCTGCCGACTTGGGACTGGCCGAGGGTTACTGAGAGGCTCGCACAAACCCGCTCGGCCGCTGATTGTGGTGGTGTTTGAGGGTCCCCAGGACGAGGGAAGAGACGAGAATCTTGACTCCACCTTTCAGAAGGCTGAAATATTATTTTATGATCTCTATTATATTAAAAGAAAATGAGATAGTAGAACTATACTAAAAGAGCAAGGAGACATCAGAAAGCTGGAAAGGAATGAATAATAAAAACCTGGGACTGCTCACAGCCCCGACACAGCTGGACCATGATTGGTTATCAAGTAGAAACAATGCACAGGAGACCAATCCAAGATGCCCCTGTTGCTAAACCATCTCCAGCCCACACTCCACAGCCAGCAGATTGTTACTGGTTCCATTTCTGTTCTGAGGCTTCTCAGGAGAAAAATCCCAGCAAAGGATTCTCATCAAACACGTCAGTGCCAGGTGATGGCACAGGCAGCGCCGGCTGGCCGAGGTCACTGTGTCATCCCTGCCAGCCCAGGTGTCACAGCAAGGAGCAGAGAGTTCACCCTGTGCTCACCCTGTGCTCACCCAGCCCTGCCAATGGACCGGCTGCCAAAACAGAGCCGTGCCATGCATGCCAGTGTCTGCATGGCAGAGAGAGGACATGAAAAGCCACTGAGGAAGCTGCCACCTCCTCCCTGAGCTCTGCCCTGCAGGCCGGGCCATGGGCAGCCACTTTGGGAAGGCTGCATTTGCTGCCCATCAGCTGCTCTGTGTCTGACAGGAATTGAAATAGCCCAGGTTTGGGTTGGTGCTGAGCAGAAGGCACTGAGGAGAAAGGGAGAAGGCTGTGCTGCAGGCCAGGTGGATCCAGGCAGAGCCAATTTGGGCAGCAGCCTTGTCTAACAGCATTTCATTTTCCACTTCTACTACATTACATTTCATTTTGCACTTCTGCTAGAACTGCATGTCAACAGCTTTCAAATATCCTCCTCAGTCCCAGCAGCCTGCTTGCAAGTGCTGCGTCTTTATCAGGCCATTGATGGTCCTTCTGAAATGTGAGTCTCACTGGCTGCATCCAAACCTTGTGCTTGAAGAGCATTCCTAAAAATTAAAGCAGATTGGGCCTTTGGGGAAGAAGGGGCTGCAAAGCATCTCCTAAAGCATTTTCTACTCCAATTTCATTGTGAGGAAACACACCTAAAGGATGATGCAGGGATTAGGATTGAGACAAAGATGAGTTTGGTAGGTCAATTTTACTTTGAGAGCTTGAGAAGCACAGGAAGCCCAAGTGAATGATCCCAGAGGGTTGAACACAGAGGTTTCACCCTCCCAGATATACAAGGGCCTTACCTTAAAACCACTGCTCTCAGCACGGAGCTGTCTCAACACTGCATTCATGTTTTCTCCTCTTTGTGCATGTGTAGAATTGAAATCCCTCTTGGGGAAGAAGCTTATTCCAAGTAAATTCCTAAACAATCAGCTGAAAAAAACCCTGAAATGTTCTTTCATAGCCTTGTAGATTTTTAAAGCCTTTGACATTTGAAACACTGTTCCCCTGCAAGGCCTTTTCCTAAATCCCAGCTTCTCAGAAGGCCCAAGGGGACAGGGTTGGCCAAGGGTGGAGCTGTTCTGGATTTGTTGGTGGTGCCTTGTAGTGAACAGTGTGTTCAGAGCTGCTCTGCTGGTTCTGCCTATCACTTTGACAGGGAAGGAGTGTGCTGGGATATGATAAATCACTGAATTGTCACTTCTAAATGCTGCTTGCAATGAAAACACTGTGCATAAACCCTCCTAAATGGTGTTAAATTTGTCTGCTATATTTCTTCCCTCCCACCCCACCACTGCTGCTCTAAGATCCCTTAGTAGCTCAGTCTTTCTTTGTGTTTTGTTTAACATTTATGCCCACCTTCCCCAAAGCTCTGGGGGTTCTTTTTAAAATATATTGATTTTTTTCTTGGTTTTAAAAAAAACCTGAAATACACACACACACACACACACACTAAAGAAGCAGGTCTCCATGGCTCAGCCCTGAGTGGTAAAGGAAGAGCAACAGGAAGGGTGGTTTGTGGTGCTGGAGAAAGTCTCTGCCAGGCTTAAAGGAGCATCCCATTTCCACAGATGGCTTTTTTTTTTTTTTTTTTTTTTAATGAGTTATGGTGCTGGGAAGATCTGGAAAGAGTGCAAGTCCCTCATTCCAGTTTGGATGTCTTGTTTTAAGAAATGTGTTCTTTCAGTTCTTGAAGAACATAGTTTTGGATTCATCCTCACATCCTCCAGTCTTGGTGGCTCTGTTGTTTTTTTATTTCCCTTTCTCTGCCCTTTTCCCTGCCCTCACTCCCCTGATGGCTGCAGGGGATGTGATTCAGGCACTCATCACTGCTCTGTAGCTTCTTTACAGAGCTAAAACTGACTGGGTCTTTCACCCTCCTCTCATAGCAGTGGTGCAGTGAGACACGTGGCAGGGCAGGGGTTTTATCTGTTGTTTATCTTCTGGTTTGATGTTTAACACATGAGGCAGAACCCCAAGCCCCTGCTCACCATGTCAGGCTAGGCTGCAGGGGAGCACATTGACAGCAACACAGTGGCTGCACCACAACCACCATCAATCAATCCGATAGAAAAAGGGTTTAAGGCCTCTGACAGCGCCATGGTGACTGAGCTGAGCCCAGCCTGGGTCTAGCTTCATCCCTGATCTGTGTAAAGCCCTCTTCTGTGCTTTCCTGAGGCTGGGACAGCTGGAGAGGTTGCTCTCCATGAGCACAGGATGGCAGCTGAGGGCTGAAACTCGCTGAGCTGCCTCCCCAGTAGGGGATGGGCTTGTGAGGGATTTAAAAGAAAAAACATTACCATGTCTTTGTCAGTCTGCCATGCTCGCTTAAGCTGGCTGTTGGTGATTTGTAGTATTTTTTAAAAGAAAAACCAAATGCTTTCCCTTTATAAGGAAATATGCTATGAAGAGGGCTTCAAAGGAAAGATGATTAGTTACTATCCAACTGTTGCTAAATTCATTGGTTGATGGTCCATATACTGCATCTTTTAATGTCACTGATACCTGATACAGACCATTCCCAAGCTGTTTGATAATTATTTATCAGCCATCTGCATCAGCATCATCTGCATGACCAGTGATGGCCAAAAAGCAGGAAGGAGAGAAAGGGCTTAAGCTGTAGGCAGGAAAGGGAAGGCAGAAACCAAGCAGCAAACAATTGGCACCTGGGCTCCATTGAAGACTAAAAGTGGGAAAAAATGGCTTAATTTGAAAATCTGCCTATTGTGTGTGCCGTCTCCAAGGGGAAACAAACAAACCCATTCAAAGGAAGGGAAAAAAAAGCAAAGAATTAAAAATTCCTTGTGCTGTTATGCAGAATTGGGGGGTTTAACTTTTCCCAATCTCTTCCCAGTCTCAGGCAGAAATATTTCTATAACCAAACCATCTCCCTTTTTAAAGCATTTAGCTGGATTGAGTAATTTCTTAAGTCCTCCATCATCAGGACCAGTTTGGGTTTGGCAGCTCAAACACCTTGGCAAGGCCAGGACAACTTCAGTGGTTCTCCCTGTCCTGAAAGAGAGGAGAAAAGGGAAGTTAAGCTCACTGCAAAATCAAAGCCTCCTGCATTTAATCTTTTGGCTTGGATTGCTCACCATGGAGTATGAGCCATAAAAAAGGGGAGGTGGCACCAAATTGAATTAAAAAGTGCCCTTTCCCAGTGCTTTTATTCCAGACATTCAAAGGAAGCTCATTTTTCTTCTAGCATTCTTTCCCTCATTTTAGCAGAACCATTCTCATCCCAGACCCCACTCAGCAGTTGTTCAATCTTTTGGCACTGGATCTGGACAATGAAGGGACACATCTGGGTCACAGGAAAGCACAGAGGGAAACCCTCCAAAACTGGACAGAGAAAAATGAAATGCAGGAAGACTTACCTGCAGCTGGATGCTCTTTGCACTGGGCTTCCTTTAAAGGAATGGATTTGCTGCTAAACACATCTCAGGCTCAGATGTGACCAGGGAGAAGGTGGGATGGAAATGAGGAGTCAGACAGGGAATAACCAGGGAGATGCAGGGCCCAGGAACATGAAGGATGGAGAAGAGAAGGAACAGGGATTGTTCTCCTTGTTTAGATCCATCAGTACTGGGAGCTTGGGAAGTACATGAGGGTACCAGAGGGATGCTGGGCAGGAGCAGGAGAACTCCAGGATAAGGGCAAGCTGCTCCCACTCCAGGGCTGGGCCAGGGAATGAGGGGAATTATTTCTCTCCCCTTTCCAGTGGGATGCAGGTGCCACCCCACGCAGAGGCAGGAAAACTGCCTTGCAATCAAGTACAAAACCTGCCTGGCAAGCCCAGGATGCCAGCAGCCATTCCTCCTGGATTTCCTGCTTACAGGCATTTTAAGCTTGCTTAAATTGGCAAGGGCAATTTAGGCAAAATGCCCTTTTTTGCCAAGGGCATTCCCATTTCTTTTGGATCCTGAACAGAGGTTTGGAAAGCTGACTTTGATGAGGGAACTGTTTCCTATTTTGATCTGTGTTAACTTGGAGTTTCCCTCGGCACCAAAAACAGGGGGTGAACCCAACCCTTGAAAGGCCATAAGATCCTAACTATCCAATCCCCAATCCCCTCAGCATTGGCTTGTGGAACCTTCTCAGGGTTAATTTAGCAAATTAAGGGTTTGGCAAGTTCAGGATCGAAACAACCAAAAAGATTCATGAAAAAGAAACGGAACTGAGGCTGGCTAAAAGCTGACGACTCATTACAACAATTCAGTGAAAAGGAAGCAGGAGTGATCCTGTGAAAAACACCAATCACTTCTTTCTAAAATTTTAAAAGTTTAACAGTAATTACATGCTTATAAAAATAGTAATACAATCAGAGTACTAATAATTTGGACAAATTAAATTAGGACAATATGAGACAATAGAGACAAAGAGTTACAGGCAGTCCGGGTACCTTTTTCTGGGCAGCATAAGCCCGAAAAAGGACCCCCGTAAACAAAGGATTAACCCTTAAAAACAACAGCCTGTTGCATATTCATACATCTCATACATGAGGAATAAATTCCATTCAGACACAGGATTCTGTCTGGTCATCATCAACTTCTTCCTCTGAATCCTAACGGCGCCTTCGAGGCAGGAAGAAGTTAGTTTCTTCTAATAAGAGAGCAATAAATTCTTTTTCTCTGAAAGATTTAGGTGTCCTGTAGCTGCTATCTCACTGCGAGTCCTTTCTTTAAAAAAAGTCTCCTACATAACATAGTTTCTATTTTAACATTTTGTTATAACCTAAAACTATATTTAACACGCTATTGAAGAGAATTAATACAGCATTACTTTCTAACACAACACATATAATATTCATTTATATATACACATATAATATTCATTTTAATATTTGCTAAAAGCCACTCACAAAATACGCATTTTTCACATTTTCAATACTCACCAAGCCATCTGGCCAGAGTTCTGTGCCCACCGAGGACACAGCAACCAGCAGGGACCTTCCTCCCATTCTCCAGCACAGGCTTCTTCCCTCCACACGCAGGGAGCTGCAGCCACTCAGGGAACACCGACTTAGTCACAACAGGAGAGGCACAAGGATAATTTGGAACTCGTTGCGACCTCAATGCCGCCCAGACCCAGGAGAAAGCACTCGTACCATCAGCCGGAGCGGGGTATTTCCTGTACCGCCCTCTCTTCCCCCTACCCAAGGCGCATGAGCACACTGCCGCCATCATTGGAAGGGCAAGTGAGTGCCGCCCTCAGCCGCCATCTTTGGTGTGGCGTAAAAAGGACCTTTTTTTGCCTCCCCTTTCCAGTTTTCACCCCCTGCAGAGGCAGGAAAACTACTTACAAAACCTGCCTGGCAAGCCCAGGATGCCAGCAGCCATTTCTCCTGGATTTCCTCTCCGCAATCTTTGGTACTGGCAGAAGCCACTCCCGGCCGAGCCGCCATCTTTGTTGGGGTACCCTTAAGCATCCCCCGCTCCTCACACAGGCGTTTCTCTTGCTGGCTGCCTCAACCCGGTCCCGACGCTCTCAGCGCCATTTTCTGCTGCTTTTCCCGGCGGGAGAAAACGGTTGGCGGGGTCAGCGGCACCGGAGCCCCGCGAACCGCGGCAGGGAGCGGCGGCGACGCCTCTGCCGGAGTCGCCTCTGCCAGAGTCCTGCCGCGGCCGCCATCTTGAGTGCGGCTGGAGCCCGACCCGGCTCACGCAGGATCCTGGTACGCGGGCGCTTCCCCGTCTTGAAACGGGAGCTCTGTCCCCTGCGCGCCTCCGCCGCCCGCCGAAACCGGCCCCGCCGCTGTCGTTCTTCCCAGCCACCGCCCCGCACGGCGGCCGCTCAAGCCCGGCCGCGCCCCTTTGCACTCCTGGCTGTGCTTCACCGCTGCCCTCTGTGCACAGCACCGCTCTGTGCCCACAAGGTGGCAGCACCGCCCCCCTGCCCGGGCCGGGCCGGACGCGCCTTGGGGCAGGCAGGGAACGGAGACCGAAGCTGCCGGAGATTGATTTTGGATTGATTTCCTTCAGCCCCAGCAGCTGTTCCTACGGTTTAAGGGCACTTGATTGGTTCATTCCTAGGTAAAAACGTTATAACAGTGGTTTCAAAACGACTACGCATCTCTAGTCAGAGTTTCCTGCATTCCTGTATACAATAGAATGGATAGATTATTTCCAAATTATTCTTTCCAAATGGTTTTAGAGATAAATTCCAATTCTTTGCCCATACCTATAAAAACGAAAAACTTGACAGATTTTGGTGTTCTACACCCACCCCTCCGTGTGAATTTTCTGGCAGCTTTTGGTCCCTCTGGGGCAGGGTAACCCAGCATGACCCCCCCTCATTCCCCACTCACCTGCTCCTCCATCAGCCTGGTGAGACCGTGTTCACAGGAGTCTTAGGATGAGGGAAGAGACGAGGAGTTGACTCCATGTTTCAGAAGGCTTGATTTATTATTTTATGATCTATATTCTATTAAAGGAATAGAAGAAAGGATTTCATCAGAAGGCTGGCTAAGAATAGAAAAAGAAAGAATGATTTCACAAAGGCTTGTGTCTCAGACAGAGAGTCTGAGCCAGCTGGATGTGATTGGCCATTAATTAGAAACAACCACATGAGACCAATCCCAGATGCACCTGTTGCGTTCCACAGCAGCAGATAATCATTGTTTACATTTTGTTCCTGAGGCCTCTCAGGACAAAAAATGCTAAGGAGAGGATTTGTCAGAAAATGTCATGGCTACAGCCTGGCTCTCCCTCCTAGGGACATTGCGGTGCCCCAAATGACATCAGAGCCCCCAGGTCTCCAGCCCCTCTCGCTCAGCCTTCCTTCCTCACCCCCAAAGAAGGCACAGAAGGAATCAAACTGCCCTGGACAGCAGAGTGGTGCTTTATTCAAGCCCTTTCCACGAGTACATCTCCCCCAAAAGGGACTCTGCTGCAAGAATGGGGGGCAGCCCCCAGAAGTTCCTCCCCAGCCCCGCAGTCACAGGAGAGAGGCAGAAAGAGGGAGGGACAGCAGAGAGGACACAGGAAGAAAAGTAAGAAGGGGGTGCAGAATGAAGTTGAAAAAACAACCAAAACCAAAAACAACAACAAAACCTGGGATGGGCAGCATAACAGAGAGGGATTAAAAAAGAATGGGTTTTGGTTCCTCAACTCTTCCTCGTCAATTTCCTTATTGGTGACATTCAGCAGTGATGCCAAACAAGCACAGAAAACAAGTGCAAGAAGAAATGCAGATAGTCAGCAGCCACCACCTATCAAAATTCATTTTAAATAGAGTTCAAAGGTCTCTAAGAGCAAGGTGTAAATGGAGATACACAGAAGTACTGCCAGCTGCTATTTTCAACATTTCCTCTGAGTTTCCTTTTCACTTGTTTATCTCTCACCTAAACAAGAGAAAAAAAACCAAACAAATGTGACCTTTCAGGCAGACAAAAAATGTGGTTGGTCCTTAAGAAAGCATTTTATTCTGCCTGTATAATAACCTGTTGGGAACAGTAGGAGCTTTTAGCAAAACGTCTCTGTGCTGTTGCAGTTGTTCTGCCACTGTGAGAAATCACAGGCACGGCTGCAAGGCTCCTGCAGCTCACCCTGGTGAGGGTCAGAGACCACTTATTCCTGCAGGGATCCTTGGGAATAATGATGGTGGGAAACGTGGAGGGAGCTGGATAAATAAATACTTGCCATTTCCTTACCAAAAACCCCTCAAAACAAAGCTATAAAAACAGTTTGCCTCTGAATTAGGAGAATTTCAATTAACTCTTTTAGGTCTGCTTTTGGTTCAACATTCATCAATCTGAATTGGAATATGCATAGAGGAAGTAATTAAAGGTAGCTGAAATTGAAGAATAAATGTCTATTTCCTTGTTCATAACCTACATTGAAACACATTAAAACCCAGTGTTTTGCTTTAGAGTTGCTTGGCATTGACTTCATTCAGTCTTAGACTCATCAGGTTGTAAAAACACAGGGAAATATATTCTTTGTTTCATGAAGAATGCATTATTAATGAGAAAGGCATAGCTTTATCAGAGTCACTGCTGATACCAACATTGCTTGGCTAAGTTCAAAGTACTGACACAAGAACATCATAACAAAAGCAATGTCCAACAGAGCCTCAAAAATAAAGACACAGTTCAAAGTTTTTCAGATGTCCTACAGTTGCTAAGGTATCTCCAGAAAGGTGAGCAAACTGAAAATAGCACAGGAAATTTTAAACCCATTTCTCTTTTTTTTTCCCCTTAACTTACTTGTGGGCAAGAGAAAACTCCTAATCCAGGGAATGAAATGTAGTTTTCATACCTCAGTCATGAGTAGTCCCCTCAGTTTCAAGCAGACCCAGTGCTCAGTGAAATCTTAGAAAGGCTCAAATCATCAGTATGAAATTCCAATTCTATTTGTGAAAGGAGCCATTTTTTCGCCATTCCCCTCCCTCCCCAACATCAAGTGGGAAAGGCTCAAATTGAAAAATAATTCTTACAAAATTATACTTTGACCTAATAAGTTTGCCACAAGTTCCACCAGAAAGAGAAAGGAGAGCAGAATCAGAGGTTATCAAACTCAATAGAAAATCCAGCTCATGCTATCTCCAAAAGCCTCATTTCATTTATCCAGGATTTTAAAAAAACCCCCACATAATAAAAACTTCACATATTTTGTTAAATGCTATCATTTCTATCTGAAATATTAATTATTACTCTGCTTTTCAGAAGTGAATTAGAAAGTTTTCTGCACCCACCTTCCCCAAGTCTGATTCTAAGTGCTTGCCAGTTTAATCCCTTAGGAAGCAAAAGTAGCCCCATGTGTCTCAGGATCAATAGAAACTGAACAACAAAGCTTGACAAAGTCTATTAAATTGTCAATAAAGTCAATAAATATTTTCCACTGTAGAGACAGCTATCACCAGCCTGTAAATTTTGCTAGGGCAGGTTTAGTGAAGAAAAAACAAGGTCTTCCTTGCCAAATCAGTCAGGAGTTGTTCTACTCTACTGCCAGTATGGGGTGAGTGTAAACACCACATTCCTCACAGCATCACCCACAAAGAATTCCTCTTGAAAATGAAGGCTGCTTTTGAGTTGGACCCAACAGATGAGAACTCCCTGGTGTAGCACAGTGATGGCAGCATGGCCAGGCTCTGCACTGGAAGGCTGAGACCCAGCAGCAGATTCCTGACCTGATCTCCAAGGCTGAGTGTGCAGGGGTGCTGTGGTACCCCGGCCCCCCTGGCCGCACACTTCCAGCCACCATCGCTTCCTCTCAGAAGGACAGGAGAGAAAATAAGAAAAGCAGGAACTGGAAAGCTCAGGCTAAAGTCAGGCAGGTCACTGATGAAACAGACTTAACTTTAAAAACCTTATTTATCAGCCATTAAAAAGAGTATTTAATTATGTTATTACACACTATTATTAGACAGTCAGCCAGCCAGCCTGACCCCAAGCACGCTGCAGCATCGGGGCCAGGCAGTGCCCATCTCCCAGGAGCTGATTTACCCATCCTTCTCAAGGGAATTGACCTGCACACAGTTCCACAGTGCAGCTGCCAGGCTGCCAAGAAAAATATCTCTGGCTAAGAGTCAAACCCTAATACATAAAGCTATTAAATGATTAAATGATATTGTGTTACTGGCTCTTTCTTCTATTTCAAATTTTGAAAATTATTCCCAACAATTTTCAAAATATTTCAGAGGAAAAAGGTCTTTTTATGCTTAGATCTAAGGTGTGCATGATTGAATGTTTCATTCCACATCTTTACAAGCAGAGCCTTGACCAAGTTAAGAGGTGGAAGGACATGCTCACTGTAATGGAAAGATGGAAATAATCAAACTCTGAACACAAGAGAAAGGTTCACAGAAAAATTAAAATTCCTTGCTGAGCCAAGACAAAGGAGATAATTTTATCCAACAGATAGAAAAGCTCAGGTCAGAATAGTGACCGTTGCTTCTCAAGAGCAACATCCATTGAAACACACAGTCTGCAGGTGGAATAAGGTTAAACCTTCCCAAAATGGGAAAAAACCCTTGACTCTGACCTCGATTATTTCATCATCTACACTTATTTACCATTTCAAAAATAGTACTAGAGTGTTCTTGTGACTTAAAAATCTTTGAAAATCACCACATTAGAGAAAATTTTACGTCAGGATAACC